TTCAACATTACTGATGGTGACTTCTCAGAAGCAGTGTGTATATTAATAGAGTCAATTTTATGCTTATAATGTTTAAAAGATGGTTCTTGTTCTGTTCATTACATCTGTAATTAAACTTTAAAATTATGGCCATCCATGTTTTTCCATAAATCATAAATCAAAATGAGAATACTTAGAACTGGACTGTTACACCATTGACAAAGTCTAATTACATAATGGCCATTTTATAAACAAAACGAAAGCCCTCAGGGTATGTCATGAGGAGACATTGCCTTTTCTAGGCTGAAGTCACTTGGCATCCAACTCATTTTAAAAGGCTCCTAAGGTGTGGTAATACCTATGACTCATGAATTGTCCTTTCATTGCTGCACTGATTGCATGAGTTCCAGAGTTAAATGAGCTATTAGATTCTGACTTCGTTTGTTTACTAAACACAAATAGCATTATGGTAAATAGCGTGTTTATTAGGGTGAGTTAGTGGGATCCACTTCTCAGATGTTACCAAAAAGAGATAGGGAGAGGGAATCTAGTATTATTAAATCAGTAGTTCCATTTACACAAAGGCAGTGGAGAAGGAAGAGAAGGAAAGGTGGCTTTGTCCCAAACCCCAGCAATATACAACCTGAGGCGACTGCAAACTAGCAGAAACTCCTCAGAGGGTCTACCTCACTGCCCTAACGTGGAGGAAGCCTAACCAAAGCAAGGGCTGGGCAGAGGGTGCTCTCTACCGCTGAATGGAAGAGAGCACGGAGGCCCAGGCAGAGCAGGAATAGAAGGCAAGAAGCCAGGTGGGCAAGAAGCTTGTTCAGGATGACAAGAGAAAAATCAACAGATGAACTCAGGAAACTGGTTACTTTCCCAAACTTCAATATCCTCTTCCATAAAACAAAATCGGTGAACTAGAAGGTCTGAAGCCTCCCTTTGAATTTCACAAGTCCGTGTTTTTATGACTGGGGTTGCATGGAACATGTGCAGTGGGCATAGAGCACGGAGGTCAGCCCCACCTGGACCCCGTGCCTGTTCCACACCCAAGTGGCACGTGCCTCAGCCTCCCCAAGTCTCAGCATTCTCTGGAGCCTGGAAGCACAGAAGAGTGGCAGACTGGCAGCTCCCTTCTGGGAGAAACCCAAAAGCATATTCAACACTTCTACCTTCATTTTTTTCCTAAATAAGAGCATCTGGAATAAATTTAATGCTAAAATGTACACAAGAAGCATACATTTCACTTACTGCACTCCACCACATGCTGTACGTGCTGCTTGAGATAAAATGTTCTCTCTTCTGAAAGTTTTGACATGGTTCACTACTTTCAAGTATATACTTAATGGTATATACATTCCCAATGGACGTTGGCAGAGGTCTGCCAAAATGTCCATGATGCCAAAAGGCAGGCGGGTGTGCAGCGCACATGCTGGAGAAGCAGAGGCTCTGTAACCACTTATAACGTCTTGCTTTGATCAAGACTCTCACGTCGAATGAAGACTATTCCAGGACTGCGAGAAAAGTGCCAGAAAAGGGCCCTGTAGAATGAAAACTCAACAGAATACCCAAGTGTGAAGCAAAACCGACCTTCGGCAACACTGAAAAGTTGGAAACATTTGTGTTCAGTCATCTTCTGTTGCCTCTCCTTGCACAAAGTTTTTGCTTCTGTCTTCCCCTGCCCCACAGCTCCCCCCTTCCCCTCCCTCCACACCTAACCATCGCCCCTCCAATGACATCAGTCTCCAAAGCATCCCTTCCCAACTCCAGTCCTTCTGGCTAGCTTCTGGAGAAGAAATCGCACTCCCATCACAATGTAATGCACACTAAATGTTAATACCTGATAATGGCTAAACTCGGCCTTTCAGAGTGATTTGCATGTTAGAAAACATGTAAGCAGAAAAGTGTCACATCAAAGGAAAAAATCTCCAATGATAGATTTTCAAGTCAATTGGACAAAAACGGTTTGAGTGAGGCCATGAGTTTTCAACTCTTAAAATAGCTCTTGATATCTGAGCCATAATCTGGTAGGAAACTGGGGCTACCATTAACTCTGCTTTTACTTCTCCATGCTTGCTGGTCAGTTTTGTTTTGGGGAATGGGGTGTGTGGTTGAAGGGATATATTTTTATGGAGAGTCTATATTTTTTTCTGGTATCTTTCCCATCAGTCACCTGGTTTAGTCAACTATCAGTATACATTTGACATACAAGAAAATATTTACTGTCCTTAAACTTACGTCCAGGTTGGGCTACATAGAAGTGGACAAAATTTGTCATTTTTTAGGTTTGTATTCTTGTCTATTGCTTGGTAAAAGGTTCCTTTAAAAAAAATAGTGATCTCCACAAATCTGGATGAGTTATTCTACTCTTCACTTTTGTTTTTTTGAGACAGGGTCTTGCTATGTTTCCCAGACTGGTCTCAAACTTCTGGGCTCAAGCAATCCTTCTGGCTTAGTCTGGGACTACCATTGTGCCCAACTTTTACTGCTCACTCTTAACATCCTGTCTTTAGCTAGTCATAAAGTTGGCAGTGCTAACCTTAGCACTAACGACATTTGGGGTCAGAAAATTTGATGTTAGGGGCACTATGCTGTGCATTATAGGATGTTATCAGAATCCCTGGCCTCTACTCATTAGATGCCACTAGGACCTTCTCGGATTATGACAACCAAAAATGTCTCCTGGCCTGGTCCCCTGAGGGCCAAAATCACCTCCACTTGAGAACCACTGAGTTAAAGTAAGATTACAAAAATGAAAATACAACCCACAGTAGGGTAGAAAAAAATGAACAGCTCTTTTTACGTGGGTGGTAATGTGGTTTGCAATTCAGAACTCTCCCCACTGGCTAGTCTCTATATAATATTATTCTAAGGCAAATAAAGTATCAAGAGCTTTAAAGAAAAAGTGATTGATCAACTAACAGAGTCTGAAAAAGAGTATTAGGGGAAGCCCCAAATATGAACCTAATCTAGAGGAGTGTTCTCTGGTCATAAAACATGCTTTTTTATTAACGGTTTTTGATAATAGAAAAGAACAAAACTAATTGGGACATATATGCACCTTGCCCTAATCGGCTGAGCTAGCCTAACAGGCAACCCAGAGCAAACTTCAATCAGAGATAATTCTGTGAAATCTACTCAAGTTACCAGCATAGAGAACTAGCATTAAGCCATATAATAGCTTACAAGCATCTTTTGAGCTTTATTGGATAAAGTAATTGATACATTTTTAAATTATGGCAGGCCTGAAAAAATTAAAGACTTGCATCTTTCACTGTTTGCTATTTTGGAAGCAATAAAGACCCAGCTGATATAAAAGTGTATTTCCCATCCCTCTGTCTACTCATGCTTGGTTGTAGAGCTTTCTCCTTTTCCTTCCTCTTCCCCAAGAGTGAATGATGTTCCATTAGCATCCATAGACAAAGACAGATTAGCACCCTAAAACAAAGACAGCACTACTGGGAAGTGGAGCTCTGAATTCCTGCAGGTCTTTTCTCAGATTCTCCACCTAAAACCCATAAAGGAAGGAATGACAGAAGACTTCGATTTTATTATTATTTTTTTTTTTTTTTTTTTTTTTTTTTTGTTGCCCAGGCTAGAGTGAGTGCCGTGGCGTCAGCCTAGCTCACAGCAACCTCAAACTCCTGGGCTCGAGTGATCCTTCTGCCTCAGCCTCCCGGGTAGCTGGGACTACAGGCATGCGCCCCCATGCCCGGCTAATTTTTTATATATATATCAGTTGGCCAATTAATTTCTTTCTATTTATAGTAGAGACGGGGTCTCGCTCTTGCTCAGGCTGGTTTTGAACTCCTGACCTTGAGCAATCCGCCCGCCTCGGCCTCCCAAGAGCTAGGATTACAGGCGTGAGCCACAGCGCCCGGCCAAGACTTCGATTTTAAAACACATGTTTACCTACACTTAGGGAAGGAAAGCTTAAAATATATTCCCGTCCTGTGTCTCTCACTTCAAATTCCAACAGTGTTGTAAATCAGCCTATCTTATGGCCTTTTCTTCCCTCTTTTCTCTAGACTAGTAGTTCTCACAGTGTGGTGCTCAGATCAGCACCACTTGGCAACCTGTTAGAAAATGCGAATTTTCATCCCCCACTCCAAACTTAGGGACCCGTAAGCTCTGGGGGACAGGATCCCGCAATCTGTTATAACAAACCTTCCAGGTGATGCACACCCCTCCAAAGTTCGAGAACCACTGATTTAGGCCAATGTTATTTCTAGAACCACAAACGTTCTTTTTTGTTTTTACAGAAAGCAAAACTGTAATGCTCATTTCATTCTCAAACTGGGTGCAAGGTAGATATTATTTCCACTTTAGAGATGAAGATTCTGGCTCTGGGGTTAAGCATCACTCAAGGTCCCAAAGCTAATAACTTCAGGTGGAAGGTGAAGGGTTTTGCATTTTTTTACCATGAAACAAAAGTCTGTCACACTTTATTAACAAAGTCTAGGCTTATTTTGGTTTCTGTTCATTTTTGCTCTTTCAGCTTTAGTCAATTCGGAAAAAAATGGAATTTATTCTATATTTTTGGGTTAGAGTAGTGTGCCAACGCCTCGGGTCCTACCGAGTCGGACTTTGAGGGCTCTGGAAAGTTATTTTCCCAATAAAGAGCGTCTCGTTGTGCTGCGGTCCCTCGCACCTCTGTCCCCGCACCCCCGGGACAGCACGCACAGGGCGGCTGCGGTCGGTCCCCCAGGGGGACACGGCTGCCCGGCCGCCCGGCATCCCCACGCGACAGGTTGTCTGCGCCGAGGGAGCGCGGCCGCGGCGGCTCCGGGCCCAGGGGCTGGTCGGGGAAACTGCGGCAGCCCACAGCCCGCAGCCCGCAGCCCGCAGCCCGGGGCGTCCGACCGACACCGCAGCCCGGGGGAGGAGGGGGCGAGCGGCGAACCTGACACCGCCGCGGGCCGCGCGGAGAGAAGCCGCACGCGCCGCCGGGGGAGCGAGGCGACGGAGGGAGCGCGGGGCTGGAAAGGAGGGGCCGGGGAGGAGGCGCGGGCGGCACTCACTGTGCGGGTCGCTCTTCTCCCGGACCCCGTCCACTCGGCCGTCGGGGTGGATGCGCAGGAAGAAGCCCCCGTTTTTGCAGTACAGCCGCTTGGGGTCCTTGAAGTGGCCGGGCGGGAAGGCGCTGCTGCCGCCGTCCTCGGGCAGGGCGGGCAGCGTGGTGATGCTCCCGGCTGCCATGGGCCCTCCGGGGCCCTGCCGGGGACCCGGAGCCGCGGGAGCCGCGCGGGGAGCCGCCGCCCCGGGCCGGCCGCCTCCGAGCCGCTCCGGGGCGCGGCCCGGCCCCGCCAGCCTCTCCGCCGGCAGCGCGCGGCCCGCCCGCGGCCCCCAAGCCTCGCGCCGCTGCCCTCTCGGCCGGCCCGAGCGCGCGGCGAGCCCGGCGCCCCGGAGCCGGGGAAGCGATGGGTGTCGCCGCCGCCGCCCTCGGGAGAGCCGCCTCCCAGGATGCAGCGCCGGGATCCGCTTGCAACCGCGGGCACCGCGTCCGCTGGTCTGGCACCGGCCGGGCCGCGGCGTCACATCTTCTACATCTCCACCCCCGACACCCACCAACCTCCCGGGCCCCCGGCCCTCCTCCCTCCGCGCGCGCCGCCCCCTCCTCGCTCGGGGCTTCCTGGGGCCGGCCTCCGCGTCGGGCGCTGCGGCCACAGCACGCAAGCGCGCGACACCGGCCGGGGGAGCCCGGCCTCGGCCGGCGGCGGGGGAGCTGCGGGGGGCGCCCGGAGGCCGGCCCAGACCCGGAGGCTCGACGCCCCCTTGTTCCCCAGAAGTCGCCCCCGCCTGACCCGGGGCCACCCAAACCACACTGCGGAGCTTCTGCTGTGCAGCCAGCCGTGAATCGACTTATAAAACTTTCATGCAACTTTCTCTCCCGTTCTTCCTCCTTGCCAGAGGTTCAAAGCGGAGAAGCTGTTTCCACCCCCAAAATAGTAGAAGGGTCGGGAGCCAGGAAGGATTCTGTGTCAGAATAGGCTCTAAAAATCTCTGTTCGCCAAAAGACAAGGGGTACGCGTGGGACACACACTGTTAAAATTAAAGGATAGAGGCCGAAGCAGCCTACCAACAAAAGGAGAGAGGGAGGCCAGAGAAGGGGAGCGGATTGGGTTGCTAAGGGGAAAAGGTTTCCTTTCACTGACCTAACTTGAGTTGGACAACGTGGAAAGATGAGGCTGGGCCTCGAAGCCTTATCTGAAAAGCAGCGTATTTGTGTCTTAACTCGGAGCCAGCATTGCTGTAGCTAAATTGTTACGCATTTCTTGGAGAGTAATTTTCTGTAAACCCCCCAACTATCAAAGTTAATTGCATTTTGGTAATTTTCAGTAGAATATAACAGGTGCTACAAATGATTAGCAAAATATCTGTCCAGAAAACTTGCGTATATTGAGGGCCTACTCTGTGCAAAGCACTAGTATGTGCTGTGGGGGACGCCAGACCAGGCAGGGTCTCCTCACACAGTGGGACAGATGAGACGGGGAGCAGGGTAACACAAATACCAGTAGAAAGTAATAAGGCCGTGGAAGAATAAGACTAAGTGCTGTGACATTTCAGAAACGGGGTAACCCAGCTCAGGGAGACACAGGAGATTTGGGGAAGCATCCAGAAGGAGGTACAAATACAGAAGTTCCTCTTTGTATTAATAGAACGTTTCCTTTCGAAAGGTCATGGGTTGAGTGCATTTGCTCTTAAGCATCCAAGAAAGCCCTAACACCTGATGCATTGCTAGGATGTTAAATAGGGAGCGTGAGTAAATTATTTGAAGTTTTAAAACCGGGCATATTCTTTCTTCTTCCTTCTCTAGGCTCAGTATACATTCTGTGGAGGAGGGAGAAAATATCTTTTCCTCACCCATCACTAGGTTCATGGCTGAGGTCCCTATAGCAAAAGACAGATTAAACAAGAGGAAAACATACTCATTTATTCATATAAGTTTAACATGACACAGGAGTCTTCAGAAATGAGGACACAATGTAGCAGGGAAACCTGTGTGTTTTTTAGGCTGGGTTTCATGATGTTGATGATCATGGAGATTGGACAAAGGTGTGTCCTCTAATGGTAATAAACTGGGGGAACTTAGCAAGGCCTGTTTGTTCAGATTCTTCTCTGTGTCCCTATGTCTTCCCAGATGAGAATGTTCCTTTCTTCCAGGTATAGGGAAGGCACCTCTGGAATGAGGGTTTTATGATCTGTCTCCGAGAAGATCCAGGGAAAGTGAGAGTAATCTTGCTTCTGTTGTTTTCTCAAATGCCAAGGTGCCATATTTTGGGGTAGCATGTCCTGAACCTCCTCAGTTCTCTAACATCTCTCTCTTCATTGAAAATCCATCTGTTGAGCCAAATAGCTCCCTTCCAGGTGATCTCCATAGGCGTCCTAGGGAATGCTTAGCACTACTGTAGCACTCACTTGAACTCTGTGGTAGAACCTGAGTATCCCAAGAGCAAGGAGATAAAATCTAAGTCATGATATTTTCTAACAGCGGCATCCAGAATATATACTAGGTATATATCCAAGATAATTTAAAACATATGTTCACACAAAAATACATACACCAATATCCATAACAGCATTATTCATAATAACCAAAAAGTGGAAACAAGCCAGATGTCCATAAAGTGATGAATGGATAAACAAATGTCTGTCTATACAATGGATGGAATGTTATTTGACAATAAAAAGAAATGAAGTACTGATACATGCTACCATATGGACGAACCTTGAAAACATCACGCTCAGTGGAAGAAGCCAGACAGAAAAGGCCACATATTGTACGAATCCACTTATATGAGATGCCCAGGGTAGGGCCAGGAAGCAGCTTAGTGGTTGCCAGAGGCTAGGGAGAGGGAATTAGAGAGTGACTGCTAATGAGTATGGAATTTCTTTTGGGGGTTGTGAAAGAGTGGTATTAGATAGTGGTGATGGTTGCACAACTCTGTGAACTGAAAAACCATTGAATTATACAGTTTAAAATGGTGAATTTCATGGTTTGTAAATTATGTCATCAAAAATAGAGAAAGAAAAAAATAAATGTCATAAAAATGAGATTTTTCTCCCATAAAGTTGGGAGAAAATAAAAGACATAGTATTATCTTATGTTGCTAAGGATGAGGTCAAACAAAGACCTCATGAACTGCCAGAGGGAGGCTAAATTATTAAACATTATAGCATTTTGGGAGGACAGATTAAAAGAGTACAAGTCTGGCTGGGCGAGGTGGCTCACATCTGGGAGGCTGAGGCAGAAAGATCACTGGAGATCAGGATTTTGAAACTAGCCTGAGCAAGAGTGAGACCCCATCTGTACCAAAAATAGGAAAAAATTAACCAGAGGTGGTGGTGCATGCCTATAGTCCTAGCTACTGGGAAGTCTGAGGCAGGAGGATTGCTTGAGCCCAGGAGTTTGGGGTTGCAGTGAACTATGATGATGCCACTGCACTCCAGCCTGGGTGACAGAACAAGACTCTGTCTCAAAAAATAAAAATTAAAATAAAAAAAGCTAATATTCTAAATAAATAAAGAGATCTTAGATATTGTTGAGAAAATACCCATGAGCAAAGCAATATGAACAGATAGTTCATAGAAAAATAAATGGATTTTGAATATATGAGTAAAAGAAAATGCAAACTAAACCTAGAATGAAATCTATTGTTCTTCTAGTCAGATGGACACAGTCAAAAGTTTAATAAATATAACATTACAGAATATGAAGAAATAGGTACTCTCACTGTTGGTGGGAGGTCATATTGGTAGTAGCCTTCAATATTTGAGATAAGTATACCTTTAGATCCAGACATTTCCTTTCTAGAAATGTATCCTACAGGCATATTCACACATGTGCACAAAGATATATGAACATATGTGCTTCAACTTTGCTTGTGGTTCCAAAAGACCAGAAATAAATAATATAAATGTTTATCAATAGGGGCTTGTAAAAGGAAATTATGGTAGAGTCATTCATTTAATAAATATTTATTCAGAACTTAACATTACCAGATATAGCTGTATAATGAAGTTTAAAAAATGAAGTATATTTATTTGGCATGGCTATAGAATGATCTCCAAGATATATGGAAAAAGTGAAAAACAAGTGAAAAATATAAGATACACTGCAATATGCATAATATGCTTCCATTTTTGGAGGGGAAACACATGCACGTATACAGTCCATATGCTTGCATAGACATAGAATATTTCAGAAATATCTGCCTCTGGGGAGAAGAACTGGGGACGTCTCTGGTCTGCAGCCAAAGGAAGACTTCTTTCTCCCTGTACTGTTTTTGTACTACTTGATTTTTTTCATCACATGTATTGTTTTTTCTACTTAATTTATTTTAAAATTCATGTAGTGAGAAAAATGTATAAAATTTGATAAGAAATGGCTCAAGAAAAAAGAGAGAGTGCTTTTTTCCATTTTGGGGATTGGTTTAGAGGCTCTTAGAGTGGTTCAGCATTTGACATACTGTCCTAAGCTTCCCTGCGACATAGATTCTAACAAAACTAGGCTGTCCTGAACCCTGGCAACAGAACTGTTTACCTTTACACCAAGGAGTTTGAGAAAGCCCCCAAATCAGCATGTAGTTTGTGCCAGGCTGATTTCAAGAGAGTTGCACTATGCAACCTAAAGTTCTTGTGAGGCTGTCTAAAATGGAAAAAACAAAAACAAAAACCCGTGTCAGCAGAACCCATGGTGGTTCCGTGTGTGTTAGATGCGTCTGTGACCGGATCGAGCTTTCCTTATCGAGGAGCAGAATTGTGAAAGTGTTGAAGGCACGGCAGAGTCAGAAAGCTAAACTGAAAACTCAAGCTTTTATGAGTAATAAGCAACATTTCAAAAAAAGAAAATTAAAGAAGAAAAAGAAAGAACTAACAAAGGAAGGAGGGAGAGAGAGAGAGAGAGAGAAAGAAAAAGGAAGGGTGGGAGGAAGGGAGGCAAGGAGGAAAGAAGGAAGAAGAGAAAGTAAATGCAGAGGGTCCAGAAAGCAAAGATGCCATGTGACATCTCTGGCTGTGTCCGGTGGGACTCCAGGGCACAGTTCTCCGGTGACTTCTGCACTCCTCTCTCATCCTTCCCACTGGAAAAATGGCTGCAGTCGTATGTTGGGAGAGAAGCTCTGTACGAATCCCTTCATCCACTTTTGCCTTCATTCTCCAAGTTGGACTATCAGGTATTTTAGTTTTCAGTTCCAGTATTAGTGGTGAAAATGAAACACATACTGTCCCAGAGCCCACTGCATATGAACAGATTAGGACCCAGAAACAGTCCATACTGTGTGAGGGTTAGTGCTCATTTCTCAAATGTTCACAAGTGCACATTTGGAATCCTCCAATGGGAAGATGTTCTTCGTTTCATCTTTTTAAATTATTTCTTTACAATAAAGGGATATTTTTAAATATGAGCTTAAGGCTATTTTCCTTTTGAACATTTTTATTGACAATTTGAGTTAGATTTGTTTTCATTTTTGTTATTAGCTTTTAATTAGTTAAGGAGCATATTAATATAATATCTTTGTTAAAAAATTAAACTATTACAGAGAATGTTACAGTATCCTTTGGATTCTACCACCAAATCCTGTCACTTCTCTTCTCCTCAGATGAAACCATTTTTCTCAGTTTGGTGTGTATCATTGTAGATTTCTTTGTACATTCATATCCATGTATGTACCCATGGAGAAGAAAACATATTGTTTTGTGTGGCTGTGTGTGCTTCCACACATAAATGGTATCATATTGTCCTTATCCTTCAGCAACTTGCATTTCACTCAATATATATCTTAGAAGTTTTTCTGCATTAGTTAAGTATGGATCTACCTTGTTCATTTTAACTGCTG